TTCTTATAGGGACCCCAAAAAGGTACCCCTAATTTTGAGAAACCCCCAAATCCCTCGCATGTTAGAAGGTGCATTGCAGGCCTGCCTGCACAGGCCGGCCTGGCCGTCCTCGCTCTAAACCCTAAACCCTAAACCCTACACCCTACACCCTACACCCTAAACCCTAAACCCTAAACCCTAAACCTCACAAAATTTAAAGCGGAGTCCTGATTGGCCTCAGGATGCTCCAAATCATGGGAAGACTTTGTAAAAGAGATATTGGGGTTATATTAGGGTTATATTGGGATTATATTGGGGTTATATGGGTTTAGGGTTTAGGGTTTAGGGATATTGATGGTTTCTTCGGTTTGTTCAACACTACCCTCGCCCAATTTAGAACCCTATTAGGCCTTACTGCGCCCTATCAGCTCCTGGCTGGGTACTTCTGGGTGGGTGGTATTATGGCCCCTTGCTTAGGGTTCCAGGTTTTGGGTGCTGTCTCCCAAATATCTCTCATTTGCTCCTCTCTTTTCAGCCCTGTCTGTGTTCCCCCTCGTTAGAACCCCTATCATCCTTCTAGCTCCCACCCTAGACCCCAAACCCTAAACCCTGAATCCAGAACCCCTAAACCCTAATCCCGACACCCCAAACCCTAAACTCTTTCCGGTGTTCGCTTCGTCAGGGCGGCCGAGCAAAGTCTTCGAGAAGAGATGGACCTGCAGGGGCCATCACTGTGGGGTCCTCCAAAAAGGGAAAATGGGGGCATATAGAGATTATCTAGGGATACATAGGTGTTGAATACGTATACATATTTTTTCAACGAATAGAGTCTAGGGATTAGGGGTTTCCAACACGTGAAAGAAAACACGGGCTGTTTTTTCTTAGCGTCCCTGCAATACATAAGGATTTCTTATTATTTGGGGAGTTGGGAGAGACCTGGGCGTTGAGGAATACTCCTGAGCAATCACTACTGTTAGCTCCTCTTATCCTCAGCTAACTTTAGTTTGCCGCCCGAAGCCCTATTCTAATGCGAAAGGCTCCTATATTACGCATTTGCAGGCAGCTCCATCCAGTTGAGGTTGCACAGATTTGGGTTATTGGGTGAACTGTAAAGCTTTAGCAACTAACGATTCTTTTAGAGTGTTATATTATACTCTCGAAGGAAGCAGTCCTGGTAAAGCATTTTTCGTGGAGGAGGGCGTTGAAGGTTTTTGGGGCAGTATACTCCAAACAGGAAACCCTAAACCCTAGACACAAAACCCTGTAAGTCTCAAACCCAGACTCCCATTTTGGCAGTCCACCACCACTCCTCAGTGCTCCCTTAGTACTGATTCATTGAATGCTCCTGACATCTACCAAAAAATCCTTTGAATGTCTGTGAGTGGGGAAAGGATTCTGAAAATGCTAGACTCTGCGCCCGAAGCTCCCATTTTGAGGAGGTTCTCGCCCAAGTTCTCCTCGCCTTGGCGGTTCGTGTGCCAGAGGCCCGGGATTCCTTTGAGTTGCCCAAAGTTGGGTACCCCCGTATAGGGGTTGTAGGAAGGATTTACGGTTTGTACCATTCTTGGGAACCCTATACTGGGGGCCGAGAGTGTGAAGCAAGGTTTCGAGACTTCTTTTTGAGGAGGTCCAAGCTACCCAGTACTCCCTAATACCATGGTTCCGCATTTGAGGCTTCAGCGTTCAGGCGTTCAGGGTGTAGGGTCTGGAGTTCGGCATTGCAGCTTTAGCTCTTAGAGTTTAGGGCTTGGATCTCATGCATAACATATGCCCTACTGTAGCTTGTCCACCGACTTTGAGCACCACCTGTGGCTACCTGTCAAGCTTCAAAGAAAGGGGAGACAGATACCCATTGCAGCAGTTGCGGAGAATATATGAGGTTTCATTAGGATGTTATTGTCACTGTGGGGTTGAGGTTGGTCTTTGCAAGGTTGGGATCCATTCTTTATCAGGGGTCCCTGGGATGTGAACAGCGACCACCGCGACCACCGCGAGCGCTGCCAGCACCGCCAGCACCGCCAGCACCGCCAGCACCACCAGCACCGCCAGCACCGCCAGCGCCGCTAGCGCCGCCACCACTGCTGCCACCGCCACAACCGACACCGCCACCGCCGCCGCCACCGCCGCCGCCACCACCACCGCCGCCGCACCACCACTAGCAGGCAGGGCAGGAGCATCTCGAGTAGTGCTGAGCAGTATCAGTACCAGCAGTACGAGGTCACAGTTCTGGTTGAGCTGCTAGAGGTACTGTATGAAGTGAAAAAGCCGAAGCCTGCCCTATACAGGCGAAGATCGAGCGCCTAGGCACGGAGTGTTTTCATCTTTGGTGCCTAGTTTCCGCGCAACACCTTGAAAGGCTATTGGAGTGGATGGTAGTTGAGCTGTGCTTTTATCGAACACGCACATTCCTAGATTCGTTGTGGGTGTTGATGCAGCTGTGAGGCTTCAGGCGAAGGAGAGCAGCGCAAGAGTGAGACGGCAAAGTATACACTCAAAGGGCCGGAGGCGCATGCCTTCTAGGGGGTTAGTATCTTCTGGAGGCAGGGATGATGTAAAGTCACACCGGGTCCAGGGACACATGGCGCTACATCCCCAACACTACAAGACCCAGAACAGGCACCTAAGTAGAAGCGCTTTACTTTTACATTCCTCATATACCCTAAACCCTAAATCCTAAACCCTAAACCTCAAATAGTAGTTTCCATTTTCTTTTCCATTATCCCAATATATCCCCTATATAATTCCCTATATAACCCCCTGAACCCTGAACCCTATGGTATAAGGTACCTAGAGCGGGGCCTCGCAAATGATGCTGGTACTTCTTGAGACAGATAGGATCCCCCACCCCAAATGGTAGTTTCCCAACATTAAGGGGACCCCAATATAGACCCCAATATACTATAGTCCTTATTATTGGGCCCCCCAAAAAGGTACCCCTAACTTTGGGAAACCCCCAAATCCTAGGTCGTAACAAGCGCAGGCCCTCAAGCACCTTGAACTGCCCAAGCCTAAAGCCAGGGTTTGGACGCCTGGTGAGGGTGTACCAACGGGAGGTTGCCACGGCCCCAGGATGCAAACATGGCGGGAAAAATTCAAGAGATCGGCACTTCAAGCTACTTTCCCGCAGAATAAGTAGGATTTTCGAGAGAGGGTCCAGGAATCTCCAGCGCAAGCAAGACAGTCTGGGCTTGAGGTTCATCTCGTAGTTCCGCGTTTGGCGGGCTCTGACAAAAGTTGACATGAGGACTGGCAAAAGATTCACAACTTCACGTGTAGGCCTGGCACAAAGATGTCTCTCATTTACCTGCTAAACATGTGCGACACATTACTTTATGTAATTTGTCAACAGCAGATTGTTGTCGACCCCAAAATGACAAGCGTCCCCCTGTTCCACCGAAAGTGCGGTACTTAACCCTACTGGCAGAGACTCCCAGTAAAGGATCTCCAGCATTGATCAACATCCTTTGGCAAGTTTCAATACCCCTTAGTTACGGAATGTTCCCTAAATGATACAAGGGTCCCCTATACGGGCATGTCCTTGAATCATGGGGTATTGGGATCCCTGGATTACCTCAACCCCAAGGTTCTAACCCAGAAAAGTCCTGAACTCTCAAGCAACAACCCCCTCCTCTCTTAGGTATGCGTACCTCAGCTCTAAACCCAAAAGCCCTCAACCAAATGACTCCCTTGGATACCATAAAGGCCTGAATGATTACCAGCATGAGCTAAAGTCTGAACCCCTAGTATCCTTCGTAATAGCCCCTATAATACTACCCTATAGAATTGCTCCCCTATATAACACCCTAAACCTTAAACTCTAAACCCTAAACCCTATATCATCCCCTATATAGCCAACCTCCCCCCCTCCCCTTATGGAGTTCACACCCTTCTTCACATAACTCCTCCTTAGCAAGGTTCGAAAAGCCGCCGACCTGGGTTCAGGCTTTTCCCGCTGCAGCCAGGCTGCAGTGGCCAGGTTTTCTTTCTGTTTAGGGTTTAGGGTTTGGGGTTTAGGGTTTAGGGTTTGGGGTTTAGGGTTCAGGGTTTAGGGTTTGTGGTTTAGGATTTGGGGCTTAGGGTTTAAGGCTACTGATAGGGAATTGAAAGCCAAGTTGCTAGTACACGCAAGCCGTAGCATATTCTATATAGATACATACATATGTTGGTAATCTTGATTCAGGTTCTTTAGCAGCAGCCCAGATAGGCCGGGGTGCGCGGCTTTCTAGTGTTCTTGAATGAAGGTCTGGGGTCTGCCTGTCGTCTCCTGTTCAGTAAGGGCTTTCAGTGTTGAAGAGCCTCCAAGTTTGGGGGTTAGCCTTGGAAGGTTGCAGGGTAACAGTGCGACTGAGCTCGGCGCAAGAAATGGGAGCTTTTCACGATCCCCTCATTATCACGGTTCCCCCTAGTATATCATGATACTATATGGTAGTTTCGAAAAAAACGGATACCCCAATATAGACCCCAAAATACTATAGTCCTTATTATGGGGACCCCCAAAACAGGTAACCATAATTTTGGGAAACCCCCATATTGGGGGTACTCTTAACAGGGGTGGGAGGTTCATTATTTGGGAGAGGGATTGTCGTGAAGAATCCATCAGAGAAACCTGCCCTGAAGAGCCCCCGCTATTTTGTATTATGGGTTTATCTAGGGATATACAAGGCTCAGGGTGTAGGGTCATAGGGGTTATGTTGGGAGATATGGTTGCATACATATATATATATATGGGGTCATATAGGGATATGTAGAATATTAAGGATTTTACGCAATACTGTAATGGAGAATCACGTGCAAAATGGATGGAACCCGGGTTTAGATAGGGGCTTACAGGAATCAGGGTTTCCTAGCATGCGGTTAACCTGACAAGGAAGAATCCCCCTCACCAGAGAGGGCGGGGGTCGCAACAGTAAACCAGTGGGTAGGGGTAGGACAAGGCAGCGCAGCTCGTAGTACTAGTAGTACAAGTTGAAGGATATCTATTGAAATTGAGATATTTTCGGGCAGACAGCACGTAGTATTGTCACCCCCTTATTATTGCCGTGGACCTTGTTTACACCTTTTCTGGCTCTGAACTTGGTAGAATACATCCTTGTCACCCCCTTCCATTCATGATAGGTTAACAGAAAGGGTTTTTCCCAGACATCCCCATAATAAGGGTTCTAGTAGATCGGGAGTACTTTTGGGGACCCTTACTTTAGGAGACCTTCGCATTCCCAAGTGATCAATAGCGGAGCCAAACCCTGATTACTAGGAACAGTACTGATGTACGAAGGTGTAAGGCCACCCTCTCACTCTTTTTCACAGTGGAGTACACATTGTTCAATCCAGTTCTTTTTGTAGAAGCGTTTGAGCTACTGCCGATAATGTGGGTGCTTGTGTTTTTTCGCTATCCAAAGATAAACATTAAGAGTGGTTCTCATAAGTAATGGTCCAACATAATCCTAGGGATCTAGGGTCCCCAAGGGCACCCTCAATTTGACCACATTAAACCTAAGCCCTATAGCCTACACCTTAAACAGGTGGGCATGGACTTCCTTATAGTCCATCATGTGTGAGGGGAAGCAAGGTCTTCTCATCTTGGCGCGAGCCGTCTACGGGTGACTTCAGGGTATCTGATGGTTTCCATGAAGGCCGGAAGCAATGGTTGCCACCTGAAACGTTAGGACTTGTACCCTATCCACGAAACTGCTTGGAAAGTTTTCTTATAAGTTTGAACCTCTGCATGCTCTGATGCCTAGCCTTTGAAACTCTGTGAGGTCCGTGCTTTCAAGATTCTGGCGCTTGCCGAGGATATGGTAATTGTTCAAAAGCCTGTCCCCAGAATGGCCACTGTTTGGTTAGGATCCCCTTTCAAGGAAGTGTAATCACAATGGTCCCTGCCTGAATGGGACCTTTGGAACAACTCCCCATATGCCTGAACCCAGGCGCTGCCTACTGCACGGCAGCGGTTTGGCCGTGGAGGAAGGCGTCATCCTTCAGGGTTAGCTTGAACTTCATTGTGATTTTTTATCGCCTTTAACCATAATCATTATAGTGTTTAAGGGTTTAGGATCCCTATCTGGCCATACGAAGCCCTCAAACCTACCCTAGCCCTTTGAGAGGCTGTTCTTGCCTTTGAAGCTTGCTGCTGATGGGTATAAGTCTCTTACCCTCCCGTAAGTATTAAATAAAGAATTCCAGGACAACAGATCTGTCCCCACTGTATTTGAGCACTTGCGAAGAGTATATACACGAAGGGTTAACCTGTTTGCTTTCGATAGGAGTAGAGGCTATTCGGTTTAGGGCTGAAAGTTTTGACCAGTACAGCTATCGTCCCTGTTACCGCTGTCCTCAGCAGGATAGTTCTATGTTCTGACTGTCACGCAGATTCCGCAACGTTTGCGGAAAAGAAAGGTGCCAAGAAGCTGAGTTCACAGGGCAATTCAGGGTTCAGGGTTTAGGGCTTGAGGCTTCACGGCTAGCTTTGAGTGGTTCAGGGTTCAGGGTGCAGAGGTTCAGGGTTTTTGTCTGCAACCTTGCAACAGAACGCCGCGAAAGGATGGATTAACTTCCAGTTTCTACTTCAAAGTAGGCGTGCGCGTGTGCTGTGGAGAATGTGAACCCAAGGAGGACCCTAAATCCTAAGCCCTAAACCCTAAACCCTAAACCCTAAGCCCTAAACCGAAGGAGGAAGTAGCTGTTGACGTCATGGGGTTCGTGACAGGGAGGCTTTGGCTGAACCTCCGAAAGTCCCTGTTTGAGCTAGAGTCTAAATGGGAGTTTCCCAAAATTAAGGGTACCATTTTAAGGGTCCCAATAATAAGGACTATAATATTTTGGGGTCTATATTGGGGTCCCATTATTTTGGGAAACTACCAAATTCCTTAGAGGGGGTTCAACGAAACAAAATCCAACTTCATTTGGCAGGAAGACGACTGCAACTGACCGACCGAGGGGTTCAGGGCTTTCAAGCTCTGAGTTCAAGGTTCAGATTGTCGGCTTGCGGCGGCGTCAAGAACTAGCAAGAGACTTTGGAGGAGGAAGACTAGCAAGGGATCAAAGTTATGTATTCCTACACTGTGCCAATTTGGGGAGTACGAGGCTGTGGGCAAAGACCTCCTTGCAACTCAGCGGGAGCGTTGTGTGTATCCGTGTGAATGTGGGCGTGATGCACACCAGTTTGGTAGCCCGGATACACGCCCAGACAGTGGTTGGCAAGGTGTCTGGAACAGAAATAAGGTCACCTGCTCTGATCTTGGACACCAAGCGGTGTAATCGTTCTCAAAAGCTTATCGATAGCCCGATAGTTGCAGAGGAGGGTTTCAATCTTAAGCCCTGAACCCCAATCAACATGTTTTTCTCAGCCACGAGCCCTAAAGTCAGAAACCCCAAGTCCTGTTTACATGTCGATAGTTCCCAGTTCTCCATTTCGTTTTCCCCTCAGCTTTCAGTTGGTTCTCCAATCATCTGGGGGGCTGCGTAACAAACACCCACTATCATAGGCCCTCAACCCTAGGCCTCATGTGAGTAGTATTTTATTTGGGGATACTATGGAACCCAATATAGAGTAAGATTATATCCCCCTTTTGGGGTAGAGTATTTTATATAAGGGATATAATCTTACTAGGTTCAACCACCAAGAAAAAAGTACTCAAATGACCCTAAACCCTAAATCCTAAACCCTAAACTCAAATGTTGACATTCAGCCAGGCATGGCTGCAACCCTGGTTCCTCGAGGAGCCTCTTATTTCCTTCATGTGGATCCTTTATGTGGCAGGGGCCCCAAAGTAAGAGCCCTAAACCCCAACCCTAAACTCAAAACCCTAAACCCAAAATCCTAAACCCAAGGGATTTGGGGTTAGGTCCAGTTTGTAGGGCGTCACGCAGAATGCCGGAGGACCTCTAAGCTTCCAGAGGGCTTCCAGGGTGCCTCCAGGACCCTTAGCGGCCAAAACCGTAGGTTTGGAGCAAACGGCAAAAGCAAATCTTGGACAGGAACATTATACAAATTCTGCAAGCCCTACACCCTAGATCCTAAACCCTAAATCCTAAATCCTAAACCCTGCATCCTAAATCCTAAACCCTAAGCCCTAAACCCTCAACCCAAAACCCTAAACCATGCCGGAGGAGGTGCAGCGCTTCAGGGCGAGCCAGGGAGAGGTAGACGATGAAGAGCCAGGCCGAAAAAATGAAGACCATAGGGTTTAGGGTTTAGGGTTTACGGAAATGGTAGAGGTCCCTTGAAAGGGGTCTATAGGGAGATATAAGATTTAGGGTTTATAGTGCCCTTGAGGTAGATTGAATATGGGGTATATGGGGATCTTATTTCAATATACCCAAGGCCATATTCTATCTACTTAAGGGGACGGAAGGTTTTAGGATTTAGGGGGGGGTCCTCCGGTCTCGTGGTCCTTAGGTCCCCTGGTTCTCCGGCGTTGCGGTTGCGGCTCTGGGAAGGTTACGAGTACTGTAAATTACAGCATTTGGAGCTTTTGAAAGGCTAGGAATACTGCAAGTTACAATATTTGTGTTTCATTTGGTGCAAAGAATATTGTCATTTGCAGCATTCGGAGTTTTTGAAAAGCCCACACAACTGGAAGTTCCTTTCGAGGCTTTTGAAGGGCTACGAACACTGCCAATTGCCATGCGTGTGGCTCCTGAAAGGCTACGAATGCTATAAATTACAGCATGTGGGCTGAAAAGCTACGAATGTTTCAAATTTAGGAAATCCAACGTCCATGTTTTGCAAATGGGGGGCTGGTTCGTAATGCAAGCAGCATGCTAATAAGTCCCATCACAAGGGGTGCAAGACTACGCACTCAGATCTTCGTCCACTTTGTGCAAATGGGGGCCCCCAACCCCCCCTGGCTATTTCGTAATGCAAGCGCAATGCCAAAGAATCCGATCAAAGCAGCTACTGGTTGCGATCTTCGTCCATTGTTTGTAAATTGGGGGGGGGGGGGCTGCGCACTGCTCAACCTCCCCCGTTTTTTGGTAATGCAAACACAATGCGAAACAAATCCAGCAAAGGGGTGCAAGAAGCTAGGTGTTCTGATCTTCGTCTATGTTTTGCTTGTGGAGTCTGCGTCATTGTTTGATAATGCAAGCGCGTTGCTTAACAAAGGCGGTCAATTATGTGGAAGAAGCTTCGTGTTCCAATATGCCAGTATTCGTCCAAACTACGACATCTTATCCAAATCTTATCCCATATGAATACACTTAAGTAAGTGGGAAGGGTCCTTTTGCATTTCAGGGGCACAGAAAGCAGGGCCATCAAGCCACATGTTTGTGATCTCTGCCCGGGAGTAGGTTTTTTCCGCAGAATTTCAGGTCTTGATATCATGTACACAGTATCTGGCAGTACGGGCGCGGGTATCTTTCAGGTGATAGATATCCATGAGTTTCCAAGTGGAGAATGCAGGAAAGGAGGTGCATTGTTTACAAAGCCATTTCTCTACGTAGCTGTGAGCTGGTTTTCATTTCTTAGCACCCCTTAAAACCCTAAACCCGAAAGCCACAAACCTGAAATCCTGTTGAGTGCCTGCAGGGCTGTGGGATTGGCTGGATGTTTCGATGACGCAGAGCACGCCGCAAGAAGGCATCGGGTCTGGAAGAGCCCTGAAGGAAATGGAAATTAGGGATCCCCTTACAAGGGCTTCTCAGGCGTATACAGGGCTGGATGCTCAGAGGGAGATGCAGTTATGCAGAAAATATTGGGAGAATCCAGGGTTGGCCAACCATTATGCTCCCCACCCCAAAGGCGAAATATTGGGCGTTTCAATCACTTTTTCGTGTTGTTTTAGCGGTTGCTTCTCGTCTGAAATCCACCGTTTACAATCTTGGGTTTAGGGTTTAACAAACTCTGGACCCTAAACCGTTTGGATTAAGGCTCGGAGTTGTAGGCTTAAGGGTTGCGAAGTGTTAAGTGCTTAGGATGAGTCAGCTGAGGAGCAGAGGAGACTTTCAACAGTTGCAACGTCACATTCAATCGTGCTTTCCATTCGTCCTGCTTGACCGTTAGACCATATTCAGAGACAAGAGCCTGTGGACGCCTAACTATTCCGTATTACCACGCTTGGCAGTGTCTAGGGTTTTGATCTATGGGGTAAAGCTGGTGATCCAAGACGGCTGCTTTGAATGTCGGACTAGACATAGATTCCCTTGGTCTTTCCTATGCATTTTCTGCGTACTTTGTGAATCTATGTCAAGTTTGCAAAAATGAAAACATGTCTTGTTGCGGTTATTATTGCTTTTCTTGTTACTACTATTAATATCATTGCAAAAAGCAGGGTAAAGCCACTTTGTTACAAAGTCAGCCCCTGCAGCACAGTCGGCGTCTTCATTCCGAAGACTTGCCAAAGAACATTGACCAGCAGACCCTCCTCTATACTTTGAGTATTGCCCGCACTCTGTAAAAGTTGGATAATATATATACATATACATAGAATAATATAGTTATATATATACACATATAATATAGTTATATATATATACACACATAATCGAGTTATATACAGCCTGTTACCGGGTGGGGGGCGGCACTCAATTTGTACTTCTCCCCTTTTGGTTCCCCCCGGATTAGCCTTAGCCAACCTTAAACACAGGGGGGAATCCAGGGGGTTGGTGACAGTAACGGTCCCATAAACGAGACGCAAGCAAATGTTGGGCCGACGTGTGCACTTGAAGCAGATAATTGCGCCCCGCTCAGAGACCCCGGCGCCTTGATCAAGGAATATAGCAGAACCTAAGTCATATTCCGGATCTCAGTATCATGTAGGGCCCCTAACCCTAAAGCCGAAATGTAGGGAATATTCCTCGATCAAGGTGCAATCGGCTCTCGGGTGTTGGCGCAAAATGTAGCCCAAGCCTCAAATCCACAAACCCGCCGAATTATCCAATCAATCCATCCCTCTTGCCACTGCTAAACGCTAAGCCCAAGACCAGAAGACTGTAAACTTCTACCCCATGATGTTTTTGAGCTCAGGCCTAAACCTCCTAGTTCTACCACTTCTAGGAATGAAGGTTCCTCCCAACCCCCGCACTTTGGGATCCTTCTTCTTGGTATCTGTAGGTATCCCAAAACGTCAATACCCTTAGCAATGCACCCGCACCCTCAACTGCAAACCTTGGGTCCCCCCACCCGGTAGTAGTGGTACCACAGGAAGATGTGGGGACCCCAATAGAACTACCGGTATCACTCTTGGTGATTAACCTAAGCCTTAAAACTCCAAACACTAAACCCAAGACCGTGTGGCCCTTAAGCCCCTAAACTCTAAACCCAAAACGTCTTCGGAGGTCCCCCAACTGAGGGCCGCGACTTCTCTGTGGGAATAGTGCCATGGCCGGGTGCGGGCCTCCGGCGATGTGAGGTTTTAGGTTGTAATGGTTTAGGGATTAGGGCGTGCACGAGGGTTTTTGGGGTGTGAAGCTTAGGGTCCCAGCTTTTAGGATTCAGTGATTGGGGTTCAGGAAGTGGGGCTTAGGGATTTGGGGTTTAGGGTGTAGGGATTCAGTGTTTGGTGACTGCTGTTGAATGTAGACCCATGACTTAAAAAAACCCTCAATAGGGATTATAATAGGGATCCTAACATCAAGTCCCATTAAAAAGGAGGGGTTTGTTAATAATGGTGTCCAAACCCTAAACCCTAAACCCTGACTAGGGAATGGGTTTAGGGTTTAGGGTTCTATGGTCAAGATATGGAAGTTTCCCAAAATTAGGGCTACCTTTTTGGGGTCCTATGATAGGGATTATAGTATTTTGGGGTTTATATTGGGGTCCCCTATGTTGGGAGACTACCGTATCTAGGTTAAGGGCTTAGGGTTTAGGTTCCAGAGTTTAACGTTTACTAGGGTGCGGGTTTTGCAGATTAAGGTTTGCCATCGTTCATGTCACTACTCGCTTAATTCCTATTCCATTTGTGGTTCTTGTATGTACTGATGCAAGTTTTACTCCTGCGGTGTCTGTTCAAGATTGCCAAATACTGTGGAAGCTCCACACCCTAAACCCCAAACACTGAGCCCTGGCGTTATTCACACGAGTACCCCTATGCATTCATACCGCCCCTACACCTTTCGACTGGCTGCATTTTCGAGGAAACTTATTTCTGAATCGATGTTGGGTAAGCAGAGATAGAGTGCAGTCATGCATCAAACAGGGCCATGCGGAAGATGAGTCGAAAACCTCAAAGATAAACGCTTGGCCTAAGGTTGCGTGGATTATCGCCAGGCGGAAGATGAGCGCTTAAAAGTGAAGAAGCCCCGCGCACGAGTCTACAATTTGGGGTTGGAACCAAAAGCTTCTCCTAGGGACTGACGCTTCGGAGGAGCTACGGTGGTGTCTGAGAGGATTTATGGGTAGAAAGCAGGAATTCGAAGACGGAAAGGTCATTGGCCCAGAGCCCAGATTGAAGCCTCCGAACCCTAAAACCCAAACACAAAACCCTAGACCCCAAACCCTAAAGCCCAAACCCTGAACCCAAAACCCTAAATCCTCAATCAAGCAGCTGCTTATCTGCTGAGGCGGTGTAGCCTGGTACTTGCAGCCGCAGACGACGATCAGCGAAGGAGCGCCGGAGCCCTTAGCTCAGGTTTGGGCGTTTTTGGGGGGGCTTTGAAGGACATACTTACGGATTACATCTTTTGAGACTTCGGGAATTTGGCATTTGTCTGGGGATTCAGGATGAATATTGGGAATTGTTCATGTTTTTCATTTAGACTGGTGTATGTTCGGCGCTGGAGGGAGGAGCGGTTGGGTTTTGTGTGGCGGCCGGGCTTGCTCAATTCTTCTCAGCTTACGTATGCAAGCAGGGCTAACAGAAAAGCCCAGAAACATAGACCCAAAGCCCTAAACGTCAAACCTCAAACTGTAGATCTAAGAATTACAAATCCCCTAAACCTTAAACGCCACCAAAAACTCGAATTCCTTGCACAAATGCGGTATAGGGTACCTCGCATAGACCTCAACGTGCAGCAGGTAGGTCTTAGGCTAAGAGCCTTGCAGGAGCTTGGCAATCACGAGTCTTGATCAGTCCGCTCGCTCGACCAGAATTGGCTGTTAGTTGTAAACACGTTGTTCAGGCAATGCTTGTCATCAGAGTGGGGTAGTTTCAGCTGGGGGGGTTCTGCTTACAGTCCCTCACAGAACCCCAAGGCACTACATCGTATACTCTACCCTCCCCCAAACTCACATGGAACCGACACCCCACCTTGCAAAGGCCAGGTTGTCTGGAAAGGGCTGGTATTCGTGCTTCGTTCTATGTAAACCTAAACCCTGGATGTAGCCCTAAACCCTAAACCCTTAAACTTCCCTATGCGCCCTAAACCTAAACCCAAAACCTAGCTAATTCTTTTGCATTCCTTCTATCCCTGCATCCCAAGCCCCACAAGACTTATCAGAGGTTAATGGGGAACAAGGATATTATATCCTGTGCGGGTTATATTAGGGGTTCTATAGGGATTATATACTATGTGGAGATTATATGGGGATTCTTTAGGGAATATATCATGTGCGGATAATATATGGGGATTCAACAGGGATCACATTCTCTTACTCCCTACTAAGCCAAGCCGCAGTAAGAAGAGGTCGGCATTGCTTCGCGCCTACGGGCCTGAAGTGCGGGTCATGGGCTGGTCGCCGGGATCCCGATTCGGGGGAAGGGTTATGGTTGACGATCCAGTGTTTGAGGTGTGAAGTTCGGGATGGAGGAAAGAGTCTCGGGCATATCTTGCTCCTTTCCCGGGAGAAAATTTCAGAGATGAGAGGAGGAACTGCCTGGAATCTATCCGAACTTCCGTGGTCGCAGGCGAGGGTCTGATGAAGTATCCTTGCTTCCTAACTTACTGGTTCTTAGTCGGGAATATGGGAACGTACTATTGTGGGGTTTATATAGGGATTATGTTCCTTTTATTCCCTAATAAGAACCGGTAAGCTAAGTACGGTGGAGGGGGTTGTGGGGCTCGCAAATCAGGACTTGTTCGTCAAGGAAGCATGGAAGGCGTCTTGTGCCTACAGCTTTCGTAGCGAACCTCATTCAGCTGCCGGCTCCTGTTCTTCTCCCTTTCTGAGACTCGTGGTGTCCTGTAAGCTGTAGAGTCGTAGAAGTCTCCTTCTGCCCAAGCAATCTCATTTGCACTAAAGTGGCCCCGTGATGATAGAGCCGTATGACCCCTGTATTACCCTTGAGGTACTTGTTATGTAATCCCTGTGCAACCCTCATACGGCCTCATACGTTCCCTTTTATACCTTTTTATACCCGTTTATTCCCTTATATAGCCCCTATGTAGACGACCAAGCATCAGCTTCCCAAAGCAGCACCAGCTGCCAATCATCCTCGCTTACCTTACACAGATTACACAGGAAATGGGTAGGGTTATCAAGGGATTGTAGGGGCGATATGTACATAGAACTGATTAGGGGTTATGTTGAAGTGTCAGGGCTTAGTTAATAATGGGGGTCACCTAGCCAAATCTTACTTGCCTGAGTCTTCTTTCTGATGTCTGAGTTCCTCGTGTCTCAGGCGGGTAAACCCTAAGCGCTGAACCTTAAACCCCATTTCTGATGTCTGGGATCCTCGTGTCTCAAGTGGGTAACCCCAACCCAAAGGTCGGGTGGTGATGGCGCCGAGCAAGAGGCTAACATCCCGGAGGAATGAGGCGAATTGGCAGCCGATTCATTCTTGCCAGTACTCTTCTACAGTGGTGTTCTCACTCATTTACTAATTCATTTGCCCTACAGTGAACAATGTCCTGCTTCGAAGGAGGAAAGCCGTCTGCTAGTAACTTTGCATCTCATGCAAGCATTAGTTTCCTTCAGACGCCGCAGATCAAATCCCGAATGGTCTTGAAATAGATTTGAATGTCGTGTTTCCAGTATACCTCAACGCCGGGACCCAGGCAACCCTTTGGAAGTCTGCACATCCCACGGGCACTGTTCGAATGGCTAGGCTTCTACCCTAATCAGCCCCTGAGTACTCTTATGATCAAGGTACCAGAGCCTAGGCATAGAAGTACCAAAACATGATGGTGAAAGTGTAAGCACAGAAGGCCAAAACACTCCAAACCCCTTTCCCTATATAACCCCAATATAC